GGCCCGGCGCGGGGCCGCCCCCCGCCGGGGGGAGCTCGCGCACCGCTGAGGGGGGGGCGTCAGCACCTGCCACCTCTCGTCAGCGGCCCCCGCCCCTCACACGCGCACTCACCGGCTGCTCTCACACGCGTCGGCTTCCCTCACACACACACACATGGGCTCTCCCCGCACACACCGGCTCCTCTCACACACACACACCAACGCCCCCCAAAAACACACACCGGTTCCCCTCTCTCTCACACCCACCCGCACAGGCTTCCCTCACACACACACGCCGCACACAGACCGGCTCCTCTCACGCACACACCGCCCGGCTCCCTTTATACGCAGGCACACACAGAGGGCAGCCGGCTCCCTTTTCTCCCTGCCTCTCACACACGCAGCAGCTGCTTCCCTTCACACATACACGCGCGCACGGGGGGCAGCTCACACACAGACACAAAGTTTCCTCAGTGTCGGCCATGGAAACTGACACCTTCCCTCCAAATCGGGCCCTGGCACCAAGTGATGCTGCTGCCCTCAGCAGCCCCCGGGCCCAGGCAGGGCTCTGGCAGCAACAGGCCCGGGTGACCCTCCGGCGCTGGAGCACTGCTTCCCTTTCACTTTTACTCAGTACAGCTGCGTGAAGTATGTACAGTACCGTGCCACAAGCACAACCACCACCGTCGCAAAGAGCACGGCTAACCTATACCCAGCTGCTCTCTGCCACTTTCACAGCGCGCGCGCTTCCTGTACCTACCGTGAGATATGTCATCCCACCACCACAACAAGCAAAGGTGTAGCCCAGATGCTCTCCTTCACAAACCTTTCCCCTTCCTGCAGCCCAGAAACCCGACAGCACACATGCAAATGCTGTTTGAGGCCATACTGAACAACTGCACATCACACAACACCCACTGGACATACAACAAATACAAGAGAAGAGTGGCCTCACTGTCTCGCCCCACTGCAGTGTGTCATATGCCTTTAATTTACCATACAGTACAAATATCCTCAACAAAAAGTGTAGGAAACATACAGCGAGTCTTTTTCACTCATTAATGCATCCAACATAAACACAAGACTTTTATTATGCTTTTATACAGCACACTGACAATGTAATGAAGTATTCTGTAAAACAATAGAAGCGGTCATCCTCATTTACTCACGTTACACACAAAATGTTCACAAGTCCCTGGACATAGAAACATTATCTGCCTATGGCATACATACATTCTCTCATGTTGCAATTTATACAGTATCTCCATACATTCAGAAGAACACCACATAAAGCATGACTGCACGTGCATAAAACCACAATATATGTGCTAAACAAAAAAACCAAGTCCTAATCGTAATTTTTTTAATAAGTGTTATTCCCATGGCTACAAATTTTCACATAGGGGAAACGGATGCTTATTAAAAGTTCCTCTACCCCAATACATCTACATACTCGTAAGTCTGTCTGTGTAAGCATGTGTAATATGTTTTACTTCACAAGAATGAAAGACAGCTAATTAACTCAAATTAAGTCTTATTTGCTGATGTGAAAAGTGCACACAGACATTTGCCACAGAACAGAAATAACTTGTTACACGCGATCTTATTCTTAATTTTAAAACCTAGGTTTCTGGGTGCAGCCTGGCTGAACTGGTATGTCCATGGCATTTCATCAAGTAACTGATGACAGATAGCCCCGCGTTTTTTCTAAACTTGCAGAATCAAGCCAGATGCCCTACAAACTGTTTCCATATGCCCTTACTTCATGCACTTTCACTTTGCAAGCAACTACTTTCAAATTTGATCTGAAATTCAACAAAATATAAAGACTTTTAATTTGTTTTCTACCTATTCTACACGTTTCAAATCCCTTACTCCTCTTCAGAGGGAATAGATTTTTCTTGCCTTAATTAACTTATGCCAAAGCATGAGGAGCACTAAGAAACATTTTGTACTCTCATTAAGTGTTCTATCGAGAAATATGGAACGTATTTATTTCTATTCCTTTAGTGCTGTATCACAAACATAGCTACTGAAACTGGAGAATCGGACTGAATCAGATGCAACTCTCGTTGCGTCAGATTTGGGGCAATCTGTACACTTCGCTGTTCCTTAAAACCTCACAAACCTGCTGAATCATTTTGGATTCCATTTTCTTTCCTGAGAGTGACTCTGGTCAAGATTCATTCACCGAAACATCGGGGAGTGCCCCAGGCTCTCAGCTCCAGCACCTGCCGATTGCCTTGTTAGGCCCCAGGGAAGAGCCAGGCCACACCAGCTGTGACACTACGAGGTCACATTAGGATCACTTTAGTCTGTCTCTGTAAAGCAATCATTTTATCTCAAACCGCATAATTATTTGTATGTTGTGATTATACACATTAGGCAAGAGGAAAAAAATCCATTATGTGTGCATAGCAATCCTCAGATAACTAGGTAAACCATTATAACACAACCTTCCCTTTACTGTATATAATATATAACTCTCCTTACTACTGTATTTTGGATACATGCCACTTAGACAATGCTTTTTTATGGATGTTACATGTATATATATTCACTGTCAAACGTCAAGATTTGGCACTATGACCAGGGCACTCTTACAGTGATGCTATGAAGGCGCCCTACATGCCGTTCACCAGGTGCTTTTGGTATATGCTAACCTAGCATCAGCATCCTCTTGCTGGGAGGCTTTTAATTGCTTGGACGCCCATTTTTCCTACTCTGCACTCAGGTCCTGTGGGTGATAGGGGAACTCATCCTTCCTTGGCAAATCACTGGAGGAAAGATGTCTGCCGTCCCTTGCTGCGCGCGCACGTTCCCACCAGCAGCCCATGACTTGCTCTTCTGCTTAGGGTAGTGTTTGCAATTTGTTTCTGATTCAGGCCATCTGGACGAGGAGTCAGCATTATCGTTGTTTGTGTTCAGGCATATACAAGGTTATTAAATCAGAGTACCAGCTTTTCCAATCTCCTGGCAAGCAGCTCCAGAATTCCTGACTCCAAAGCGCCGTTTACGGTCTTCTGACAACAAATTTACTCCTGTATGAATATTTGGATAATATCCTAGAGAGTTTGTCCCTGATGGAAGTTCCCATTGGATGGTTTGTGAGGCATCCCCCATGGAAGTTCCCATTGGATGGTTTGTGAGGTTTTCTCTGAAGAATTTGGTTATTGCTGTAACAAGCACAACTTCTCGCGTCCTTTCTATATTTGCATCAATACCATCCTAGGTCTGTAAGCGCAAGCATCTGTGTTCATCTTGAAGGAGGTTTCTTAGACTCATTCTGCTGCCTGTGAAATGCTTTCTCTTTTTACTCATCTGCTGGATCAGCACGCTACCGCCTGTATAATTTTTGGATCAAAAAGCAATTAAAAGTGCCTTCTTCCTAAAGGAAAAGTGTCTGGATTGTTCTGTCCCCACTTACATGCGCTGCATCAGATCAACTCAAAGACAAAGCCAAGGAGAACACCTTCATCAACTCCTTTGGCAATTGTGGTGCTCTATTTTATTATTTCCTGCTCTTAAGATATATTCAACAAACAAGAATCACTTCCTGCTTGAGACCTATAAGGAAGTCACAACCTAATTTCTCCTCACATTTCAAAGCAAATTACAACCACTTCCTTTTCCAGAGAGTTACCAGACCAAGTAGCTATTTTCCAAATCCCTTTTAGGAAGGATGACCTGATCATTGCAAATCAGCTGTCTAAAAATGATTTGCTTCACCCCGCCTCACCTTCCAAAGGAATTTCCATGCAGTCAGCTTATGAGACATTTCTACCGGCAACTATTGTGGAATACTTGCCATAATTAAGTAAAAAGCAGTTATCAGTTTCCACTAATACCCAGACTTCAGAGGAAAGTTTCAGAAGCCAGGTTTTCCTAATTTCTTTTCCCACTCAACACATTTTTTGTTTGAAATCACCTATAGAGTTTAGTTTTGAAGCTCCCTTTCACCAGTTTGTTTGTCATGTTTTGACCAGTAGCTAGTAATTATGAGATAATGTCCACTTCTCCTATGGTTTTTCCAGATCCTACTACACATTCATCAACAAAATTGTTTATTGTTCTTACCCAGACACTTTGGCAACAACGGACCCTAAATGTTTCCAAAAATTAGAAAAAAGTAGGATGCGGTAACATAAATAAATACGTTTGTGTGAGTGTTTGTATGTCTGTTATGCGAGTGGTGAGAAGGAGGTAGGAATATTTTGTATTTCTCTATATCTACACTGATTTCTGCATCTTTCTGCGTCTTTCTGCATCTGTGCGTCTACAGTCTGCACAACTCTGTGTCTTTCTGTATTTACACTAATTCCCTTCTCTGCCCTTTTCCCCTCAAAGTTACTCAGATTGCAGGTTGGGAAATACAGGCTCATTAGACAGATCTTATTGATAAATTATTCCATGTGACAGACAGCTTGTTTACACATGCTAGTACTAATGTGAAAGTTTGAATGTACGTATTAAACCACAGTCAAGAAGACGACCAAGTACAGAAAAAAGTCCTATAAGAGATGAAATGTCACAGAAAAAATATTTCTGAAAAATTCTGGGGAAAAAAAATGGCATATCATAATAATTAATCATTTGCCAGGGATGAAACTGCAGTTCATGGATACGTCCTAAGCAGCAAAACCCTACTTGCCTTTGCGACGTGTAAATGGTGCCATTATTTCAACTTGAGTTTCCTTGAAAGTGGTGCAGAAACCATTCCTACGCAGATAGCTTGTACCTGCCTGTGAATTATCCTCCCAGCAGCTCTCCATAGAATTGGCAGTAAATGGCTGATGACATACAGAATGTTGAGTGTAAAATACATTTTTTTTTATATCAGTGTTCTCATCAGAATACTGAGTGACAACCTATTGTTTTCTTTTCTCATATCTCAGGCGTATTAGGAGGATGCTAAAATATCTCCTAGCTATAGAGCTGAATCAGAGCTTGATGCTGTTATACACTGAAATGTGACGGGGGTCCTTTGGGATGTTTCATGGGTTTTGTCTCTTTCTAGATTGTATAAATAAAAATTTCTGCCTCAGCTGGAGTATTTGCTATCATTGTTGTTTTGCAGATTTTGTCCTTCCCACCAGCAATCACTCTGGAAAATTTTGAATATCTCTTCCAAAAAGTAATTCACATTCTTTTGAGTCCATCAGAACAATTCTCTTGTGTAGGCAAATTTTCAGTCTTCAACTGCACACACAAAAAAGGCAGAAAGACTCAGACTTTGAAATACAAACAAAGCCCTCAAACGACGTGGAAAAAAGAACAAACCTCTCTTGTACCAACTGAACAAGAGAGACTCTATTATTTATTTAGAAAAACATGGCACACAGGTTCATAAGAAACAAAGTAGGTGGGTTTTGCAATGGACAACTGACCCCTGGAATTCCTTGCCCAGGAGAACCAAACGCAAGAACCAGCGCTGGTGCAGGACGCTTAGATGGGCCCAGGGGAGTGAGAAAGCCTGGGAGAGACAAACATTGGATGTTACTGACCACAGACCACAGCTGGCTCAGAAAATTCCCTAAACGGAAAATGCTCAGAAAGTGAGATTCTTCAGAGGAAGTATCGTATCTGCTGGCCCTGTTCTCACTTCTTCTTAGGTGCGCACCTGCGGTCACTGTTAGAGACAAAATACTTGCTTAGACAGGCCCTGCCTGAACCAGCACCGCCCCCCCCCATGGCCTTCGTTGTCTTCTTTAATTAAAGAAAAAATATTTACTGTATCACTGCCAGCTGACAAAAAGTTACCCTCAAAAACCTGTTTTTTCCAGTCTTTTTGCATTGTAAGTGTAAGCTGTACATGTAGGGTTTAAGTGTGCAGGTAAAAGGAACTCTGTAGGTATGTCTATATGCGATCCCTTGAAGAGTAAAATATGTCCATCAAGAACGGGTTAGGAAAGCAGAGTCACTACGCTGTCCTGAAGCCTTTTCCCGATAGTCTGTTGGAATCTCCAGTGTGCTTTTCCGACGCTAAACTGGTACAAAGAGTAAACTACTTTATACTGCTTGATGGCTGGAAAACATCAGTTTTGGAATATCAGTATGTCTAGCATCAGATAGCTCCTGGTATAGCAGGACAATACTTACAGTTTCTTTATGCTAGATATGGGCCACGTGATGTCATCTCGCTGACATTGCAGTCAAAGTGAAATTTCCCACTATTTCAATGTGAACAGAAAGGCGTGGTATATTTTATTTATCATATTCCCACAAATCTTCTACTGAAAGAGATGATAATTTTGCAAGAGTAAGCTGAGTAGAATTTTGCCATGTGAAGATGAAGTGTAAATAGATATTATCTATATCGTACCTCAAATTATTATTTTTGACAGCTAAATATCATTTATCACATATACAAGAAATAATAACTTTCATGTTGCGTTTGGTTTATTCTAGAGAATAAACGTGAGAGGAAAACAAAATTGTATCAGCTGCAATATACAGAATATTCACTTCTTTTTCTGTGCCACCATTATATTATGACACGTTGATGTAGAGAAAGCAGAATACCGTTTTCAGTGGTATGATTTCCAATTATACCACGTCCGTCTGTGCTCTACACAAGTGTTTACACTTATGGAAACACTAATAATTGAAATGACAAGAGTTTGGCTGGACAAACACAGCTTTAAAATATTTGTTTAATTTAGAAAGGCTGAAAAGATAAGACGCTGACGCACAAAACAAGCTGACATTAATTTAAAAAAAACCATTTCAAAACCCCAAAGTGACAGTTAACTGAAAAATGAAGTGTGGAAAACCTCTCTGCCGCAGAGACGTAACACGAGGAAGGATTCTGTTTGTTAGCATTGAACATTCATTCAACTCCCCACTGGAATATTCATTTTCCAGAAAAAAACCAGAAACTGTCCTTTAACGACAGTAGAGACTATTTTTGGTCTTTTAGTCCAGTATTGTGTATTAAAGACTGAAAAGATTAGCAGACTAATACATATCATAACAAGGGAACATCTTCTTAGGTTGCGCTGTCAGTCCCATGCTACCAGTCAGTTTCACAAGGTACGGCGACCTTAATAGCCCCAAATTGCTGTTTGTATGTAAATAAAATGCTACAGATGCTCTTTCAACATGAGTTACATTTTTAAATAGTTTTGTTCCAGAAAATATAATGTCAAAGATCAGACATCTCGCCCACAATGCTGCTAAGGAAAAAACACCCAGGGCGTCCCATGTGCAAGTGCCGGTGGATTTTGTTCCAGATGTATGATGTCATGTCTGTGATGTAAGAGCTCGGCAGCTTGCTTTAAAAAGGTTTGGAACGGTGGTTAAGCCAACTTGTACAGCGGACTAATATTATTCAACTTGAATGTATCTAATGTCCATGCAAAAACAACGACCCTCTCGTTAATGACCACATGATTAGGTGACATGAGGCAGAAAAATGAGATTTTTTTTTTCCCCCCAGAAATAAAAACAAAAGAAAAAAAAATGTGTAGCGAGCGTACATACATGTGCTTTCTGCACGTTTTCAACTTGTGTCATAAATATTTTGCACTTTGTAGAATGCTCATGATCTGTTCTTTCCAAAACATCTGGACATCTTCTCTTTTCAAAACTTAAATTTATGAGACTGTCACTGATATCAGTTCTGGCAATGTTGGAACGATTGCAATTTTACTTCATTCTGTTGCCAAAATGCTGGGAGCATCTTTGTGTCTCCCTGTGCAATGAAAAATCTCCATGTGCAATGAATTAAGGAAAATCGACCTCTGATATTTATTTTTGTTATTTTTACATACAATTACAAAATAAATGCAAAACTCCAAGAAAAACCTGGCTAGATGATGATGCAGATTACAACACTAGAATCAAAATTTTTAGAGATATACCCACATGGGGAGACTCTCAAAGCAGCCGAGTGGCCTTCTGGAAACCAAAAGAGACAGCTACATTTTCCAAAGAACCCAATACACCAAAAATTTACTTTAATAAAGTGAGCACTTTTAAAAGCATGGCCTTCATTTAGTTGTCTAAATAGAATTTGAGCCCTTCTGAAAATCTGATTCCAGTTATTGATACTGGCCCCTTCAAAATCTGCTTCCTCTTAGAAAGGCTTCGCCCTGGGTTTATTGCTGGAGATTAGAGGCTGT